TCCCTCCCAAAGCCGTGGCTTAGCATCATGGACGTGGACTCCCTCCCAAAGCCGTGGCTTAGCATCATGGAAATGTATTCCCTCCCAAAGCACGTGGCTTAGCATCATGGATGTGGACTCCCTCCCAAATCGGGAGGCTCCAACTCAAAGCAAACTCACTGCTGTTAAGTCGAGTCAAACTCACGGAGACAAGGCCAGAGGAGAACTGCCACTTCGGCTTTCCTAGGCTTTTAACATCGTGACCCGAGCAGACAGCCTGATCTTTCTCTGTGGAGTGGCTGGAGAGTGCGAACTGCTGACCTCGGGGCTAGTAGCTCAGTGCTGCCAGGGGACCCATCTGGAGGCCAGAAGTCCAAAAGCAAGCTGTTAGCGGCGCCAGGCCCTGTCTGAAGGCTCCAGGCGAACATCTTCCCTGTGGCTTCCTAACCTCTGGGGCATCCTGGCAATTCTTGGCTTCTGGATGCCTCACCACTGTCTCTGCCTCTGTCTTCCGGCGGCTGCCTTCCCTTGGGCAGGCAGTCTCTTTTCTTTTCAATAAGGCCACTGCTCATTGTGTTGCACACGGCCCACCTGACTCCATTGGGACCTCATGTTAAATGATACAACCGCTTCCAAGACCTTATTTCCCAGCAAAGGCATATTCCCAGGGTCTGGGGCTTGGGCCTTCAACACATAGTTTGTAGGGGAGTGCAGGGTAGCCCATCACACCAAGGCTCCTGAAATCAACCCCTGTGAGCAGCTGCAGCCTCCTTGGTCCGTCATAAGACTAGTCTGGTCATCCAGGGGCTTGGGAAGGGGATTAGCTGGGTTGTCCTTTCTGCACACTGATGATTTCATTTACTCTCAGACAACGTCATCAGGCACACAAGTGCGGTGTGAAACAGTGGTGCAAGCCTTGAATTGGAGTCAGAAGAGTTAGGGTTTGAAAAACAACCACATTGCCCGCAATTGTCTGCTTTGGCAAAATGTTTAAGCTCATCTGTGCCTCCGTTTCCTCATCTGTAAAGGAGGGGTGATTACTGCCCTTGCTGGGTTATTGAGATCACCCTGGGGGACGCACCTAGCTCAAGCATGACTCCCTCTTGCAGGCTTGCTCATGTGGGTCATC